GGAAGAGGTCAGGAATGGATTCTCCCATGGAGCCTCCAGAAAAACTTTCCCTGCTGGCATCTTGAAGTTAGCCCTGTAAGACTCATTTTGAACTTTTGGACTTCAGAACCAGGAGAGAATATATTTCTGTTGTTTTAAGTCACTAAGTTTGTGGTAATTTGTTATAACAGCAATAAAAAAACTAAAAAATATATCCTGGCAGAAACTGGAGTTCCCCCAGTTTATAGAGAAGCAATGTGGGAGTGAATCATGAGGACTGAAAGAGTGGGATAGAATGAAAGGTTGAATAGAGAAAGTTAATTGACGTGGGGGAATTTTTTATGGTTCATGATGTAACGTCCTGGCAAGGATGCCTGGAACTGTTCTTAAACTGTTCAGATGTCCTTTTGAAGCTGGATATTGGTTATAGGGCCTTTTCTTTTCTTTTTTTTTAAATTAAGTTTATTGGGGTAACATTGATTAATACAATTATACAATTTTCAGGTGTACATTATAATTTGACATCTATATATTCTATTGTGTGATTACCCCCCAAAGTCCAGTTTCCTTCAGCTGCCACATATTTGATCCCCTTTTAGTCCATTGTCCTCCCCCAACCCCCTATATTTGACTCCCTTTACCCTGTCTACATCTTCCCTCCGCTCCCACCCCCTACCCTCTGGTAACCACTAGTCCATTGTCCATGTCCCCGAGTCTCTGTTTGTGTTATAGGGCCTTTTCAAGACCCACAGTCAGACCAAGTTTGGCAGCGTTGTGTCTTCCTTCAGGTCCCTGGGTAGGCAGAAGTGTTCCCAGCCCATGTCTTCAAGGGGTAGGAGCTGGATTATTGTGGGAGCTGGAGTCACTTCAAGATCTGCAGTTGAACTCAGTTGAATTGAGGTCAGTGGCCCTACCTCTGAGAGCATGGAAGAAGAATGTGTCTTCTGGTGGGTCTCTGGACAAGCAAGATTTTCCTAGCCCATGACTGCAAGGTGCTAAAGCCAAGTTACAGGGCCATCTCAGTGTCTGCAGCTGGACCAAGGTCGGAGGGCCTGTCTCAGGGAACATGGATGGTTGTATCTCCTACCTTGTCCTTGGGCAGGCAGGACTAACTGCTAAGAGAAGCTGGAGGTGAATCATGGGCCACTTCAGCATTCACAGCCAGGACCAAGGTTGATGGGCCTGTCAACCAGGGCACAGGTGGGCATGACTACTGCCAGGTCCCTTGGCAGATATTGCTGGTGACAAAACCAAGGCCAAATGGGACTGTAGTTGAGTCCACAGGGAGACAGGTCTGTTACCAGGTCAGTGGCCAAGACTACTATCAGCAAATCTGCCATCCGGGCACAGACCTGCCTTCTCAAATCATCCCCCCTCAATCTTGGGCTCCAGCAGGTTCTCATAATCTCCTACCTAAATCCAAAAGCTCCCACAAAAGCACTTTTGTCCAAGTATGGCTGCCAAACATTATTGCTGAGGGGGAAGTATGAGTGGGGACCTCCTTTTCGGCCATCTTGATGATTATTATAATATTATGTATCATAATTATCATACTATATGTATCATTAAGCTTACAGTTTATGCAGTTGGGCAATTTCTCCACTGGGGAAAAAAGTTAGAACATACACAAAAATAAATTCTTTATGTATTAAATATTTGACGTAAAAGTAGTAGAAAAACATCACTTACAAATATTTATACGGCATTTAGATGGAAAAGTAAGTTTTTTCTAAGCATGACATAAATCAAAATAAATTTCATAGAAATGTTAAATTTAATTTGGGCAAGAGACACCCTAAACAAAGTTAAAGACAAATAGGAAACTGAAGATTATATCAGCAACATATATGGCAAAGAAATACCATTCTAAAACATAAAGTGTTTCTACAAATCATTAAGATAAAGATAAATTACCCCTAAAGGGGCAAAAACATGAACAGGCAATTTTCAAAGAATAAATACAAATAACGAATAAATATATAAACATCTATTCAACCAAAATAAACAAAGAAATTCAAATTTAAAAATAATGCAATATTTAATCTAATTATCAAAGTTTTATTTATAACATCCAATGAAGTCAACAAGTAAGGTAACAAGCATTCTCAATCTGCCCTTGCAAATTGCTCTGGCAATTCTCAAGCTGCCAATCAAGATGTAAAATGGTACACATTTTTTTGGCAAATAGAAGAGCAAAATATTTACCAATTTTTAACTTTACATTTCTTTAGTGTTAGTACCCACACATGCACACACATAAATTACTTTTATGAATTTAACTAGTGAAAATAATTTCAGATGTATGGAAAGACATATAAATAAGAATACTATCCTAGTATTATTAGCAATTATAAAAAAGGAAAAAGAAAAAAGAAATAATTTGAATTATATCAGAGGTTTGCATAAATAGGTTATAGTTTATACATAAAATAAAATATTTTGTGGCCTTTAAAATGGATGATAGATTTCTTGGTTGACATGTAAAGAATTATACTATGTAATGTGGACAGGGGAAAAACAAATTACAAAATAGTATGATGTTTTGAATGTGTATGTTTGTGTGTCCATTTGTCTGATAAGTTAAACACCAACTATTATCAATGGTTACATTTAAAGAGTGAGATTATTGTAAGAATGGTATAGAAGGTTGATGATGATGTTCTATATTGTTTAAACTTTTACAACATTTTACATTACATGCATGATAAAATATTTATGTAGCAAGAAATTTCCAGTTTGGAAATTTAAAAAGAGATAAATTCCAAAGGAAAGTGAACAATCTCTAAACTGTTTAAGAAACTATGATCCTAGAAGGTGGACAAAGTGCTGGAAATCAGTGTCCTTGGTCATTCTTTATGATGCTGAACCCATTGATCTATTTCACCCCAGTGATGATGCCACACAAAATCCTCCCTTGTGGTTTTAGATGAGTGTTCATATGGCAAAAAGGCCAGGGATTTTTAAAAAGTAAACAAAAAGCTCTGTTTTGTTACAGGGTTAAATGCTGGTGGGTAGAAGAAGTAATGGCAGGAGATGTGGTAACTCTTCAGGGTCAAAAGAGTGAGACAGTCTTTCTGTTCATTCAGGCTAGTAGACTAGAGAACATTAGAGGTGGAAGAACCATGTTGATAACCTTGTGCCTCTATCAAATATAGGCCCAGAAAAGGTATAGAATTTTCTCGAGGTCAGGAGCGTTGTGGATGAGTGGAAGTGATGAAGCGAACACCATGTTGCAGGTTTTCCTTGACAGTTTCCTTGGAGGAAACTCACTCTTTGCATCCTTGAAGTTTGGTGACTAAAAAAGGATCAGAAAAGAGCTATCTTTTCCCCAAGTCTTTGACAGTATTGGCAGGCAAGGCCCAAAAAGCAGGGAGTAAACTATTAAGATGGAGAGTTAGTCATAAACTCTGATGACATTTTAAAGATATAGGTGGATAAAATACCAGCACTCTTTTTCTTCTCTTTTCTCGTCTGATAAACCTCCCTGACATTCTAGGAGGACCTTCCATTTAGAGAAGCAGAAAATGAGTCCCCTGTGCGCTTTTTAGCACTTTTGTCAAAACTTAAAAGTTATTTTATTCTTGGTAGAGAGAATGGACTACATGGATGGCATTAGGCCTGCCAGAACTGGTTATTGCTGGACAGTACAAAATAAGAAATTCACACCTCCAATCCCTAACCCACTAATTATGTTACCCCAACTTCCTTCCTCTGATCTTTTACAAGTTTTAAGGCATCTTATCCAATCTCTCCATTTAATCTCTACCCTATTTGGTCTTCTCCAATACCTTTATCCTTTCTACTCAACTCTTTTTGCTTGCCATCTATTTGTCCCTATTCCTCATCTTTCATTTTCATTTTTCCCCACAAACTCCCCACCTCCAATCTTGTTTTGCTTCTATCATGTTCTTTCTCTTCACCTCCATCTTATCCCACCTTTTCAATCCCTTCATTCCCATAAAATACCATGGAGAAGTCAAGCCATAGGAAGTTTTAGGGAAATTAATTGGGAAACCTCTGTGGCACAGTAAAGATGCCAGGAATGGGTGATCAGTCGTAAAAGTGAGATCAGAAGAAAAATTCAGCTAAATGATTACTGAACTAAAGGCTGATAAGCAGAAAACAAGATGAGATATTGTTCTAGGTTAGAGACATGTTTTCCTACTGATAAGAGAACTTTAGGGTAAGGCGTCACCGAATACAACAGACTTGTATTTACAGATATGGATTGTCATAGCTAGTTGATTTGGGGACTGAGTGAGAATTTAGAAAGGAATTTCATATTGAGTATTCTGGTTTTTTTTAAAATGTTGAAATAACATTTAAATTATAAATGCTTATCTTTTCAAAAGATTTGAGGAGAGATAGATGAGGAGAATTGAATTTTATATTATAAAATTTATCATATGTGTTAATGGAGTTTTAAATTTTTGCACACAGAGATCATGTTCTCCTGAGTTACTAGAGAATACAGGACCATACAGCTCTCTATCTGTCTCCTCTATATCCCATAGCATCTTTGTGTGATAGGAAGAGATGAGCTGCTTTTTTAGGCTTATAGTAATCTGATAGGAGAAATAAAATAATCCTGATCTCTAGGCCTATGTTTTATAAACAGACCAACCATACTCGAACTTGAGGGACTCAGATGACCCCCTGTAGCAGGGTTGGGGGAGAGGGAGTGGGACCTAAGCTATAACCAACTGCAGCTGCTACAGGTTCACGTGGGACATGAACCTGTAAGCATGCAGGGCTTCCTAGGTTTCACTTCTACCGAGAAAGGGGAGCCCATGGTGACTGAGGCTGTAATTTGCCAAGGGGACTGACCTAGCATTAATTTACATGCCCTTTGACTATCATTGAGCAGAGCTTCTTTGGGAAACAATACTGTTATCCCTTACGAAAAATCCTCATGCTCAGGGAGATACAAGCAGTTCTGGATGTTTGTCCTAGTTATTGGCTCCAGAGGATTTCTCCTTTAGTCCAAAAAAAGAAAAGGAGAAAGTGACGCTCCAACCTTATCAAGTCAGTGACCGCCTCCCTGTGAGCATCCGCCAGAGGGCGCCCTGCACACCAGGGTTCCGGAGGCTATAGATGATCGGATTCAGCATGGGGTTAACGACAGTGTTAAAAATTCCAACAGCTTTATCCTTATCTGAAAGCTGGGCTGAACCTAGTCGCATGTAGTTAAAGATACCTGAACCATAGAATATGACAACCACAGTGAGATGGGAGCCACATGTGGAGAAGGCTTTCTTCCTGCCTGCCGCTGAGTGGATTCCTAGAACTGCAGCTGCTACATGGGCATAGGACGTGATAATGAGAGTCACAGGGGTACCTGCCATTATGAAACCTACAGCAAAGAGCAGCAGCTCATTGAGTTGGATGCTGGAGCAGGAGAGGTCACAGTAGAAGTGATTGATCACATTGGGACCACAGAAGTTGAGCGTGGATATGGCTACAGTGTGGGTCAGTGCATTGGTGAAGGCACAAGCCCAGGACACAGCCACCAATATTCTCTGGACCATCTGGCTCATGCGGGTGCTATACGTGAGGGGCCGGCAGATGGCCAAGAATCGGTCATAGGCCATGGCTGTCAACAGGAAGCAGTCCACATCAGCCAACTGATGGAAGAAGAAAAGCTGTGTGAGGCAGGCTCCATAGGGAACTGTACGCTTTTGAGACAAGAGACGACTCAACATTGAGGGAATAGTGACAGTGATGCACCCAACGTCGAGCACTGATAGGTTCCCCAGGAAGAAGTACATGGGCGTGTGGAGTTTGGGCTCCACCAAGATGGCTGCCAGGATGCTGAGGTTGCCCCCAACTGTGACCAGGTAAGCAAAAAGGAAGAGTATAAAGACAACTGGTCGCAGCCCTGGTGTCTCTACCAAACCCAGCAGGATGAACTCAGTAACTGCTGTTCCATTGGCCTCAGATTTTTGCGACATTAGTTCCTGCAAAAAAAAAAAAAAGAAAAAGAAACATTCCTCTCAATATATTTATTAAAAAAGAAGAAATAGACTTTTTTCTACGTGCTGAGCTTTTTGCTAAGATCCCCCTCTCCAAGTAAGGACTTTCCCACTCCCCAGGACACACCACACTTATTAACTCTCCCAGTACATTTACCTCAATAGCTTTACTTCATTCTCAGGTGCATGGACAAGTGACACTGCCACTCTGGACCTCCCTCCCTGTCTTAGCTGAAAGAATCTATTTGTAGAGATTATGAAGGACAAAACTCTTCAGAAAACAAATAAGTAGAACATGTATTCCTGGTTTGAATATGGCAGAGTAAATCTGGAATTTTCTCTTCTCAAAACTCATTCTTTCCCAAGACAAGCAAAACAGGAATAAAAATACAAATTCTATCTTCAAAGAAACTAGTAAACATCCAAAACACTAATCTACAAACTAAACGAGAAGGCTTCAAGAATAGTGGAGATCAGATAGGAGAGTGGCAGAGAGAGAAAATCTATGGCCATAAAAAAAGCTAGACAAGTATAATTCTCCATAGGAAAAGGGCACTTGCTAAGGAACAAAATCAAAAGCTCTTCTTTGCAATAATGGAAGTAGGGTGCATAGTATGGCACTGTTACCTTCTGTGATCCACTGGATAAAGGTGTGGTACATATATACAATGGAGTATTACTCAGCCATAAGAAAAGATGAAATACTGCCATTTATGACAACATGAATGGATTCTGAGATTATCATGCAACGTGAAATAAGTCAAACAGAAAAAGTTGAGAACCATATGATTATACTTATATGTGGGATATAAAACTGAAAGCAACAAATGAACAAGACTAAGAAACAGAGACTCATGGACACAGATAGCAGTTTAGTGGTTACCAGAGGGGGAAAGAGGAGTAGATAAGGGAAAAGGGGGTCAAATATATGGTGACAGAAGGAAATTTAACTTTGGGTTCTGAGCACACAATGCAATATACATATGATGTATTATTGAATTGCACACTTGAAACCTATATAATTTGATTAACCAATGTCACCCCGATAAATTTAATACAAAATTTCATTCATTTTTGAAGAATGTTTTTGTTGTATATAATCTATATTAATTCAACAATTAACAGATGCAGAGAACAAACTGTTGGTTGCCAGAGGGGCGGGGGTTGAGAGATGAGTGAAAATGGTGAAAGGGAATAAGAGGTAAAACTGATATGAAAACTTGTACCCAGGAAACATTTACCCTCTAAAAAGAGCATATATCAACCAGAAATTCAGCAAATCTTGAAAGAATAAATAACACAAACAATAATATTTAATCACAATCCAATTTAAAGAAAAATTGTTAAAATACTATTAATAGAAGCAATAACATAGCTATCTGGGAAAAACATAAGTTATATACATACCTCACATTATTTTGAAAAAATAATTTCTAAATGGGTCAAATATTTAAATATAAAAATTAAACCATAAAATTTGGGGGAAAAATTGGAGAATTCGAATAGTGTGAGGACGGCTTTAAAATATAGAAAAACTTTAACCAAAATTGATTAATCTATTAAAATTCAAAAATTCCAACAAATTAGCTAAGCTGGGACTATATTTTCCAAATTTCATCCTCTGTATGGTTCCAGGTTAGGGTTGACCATAAGGGGCATTCGAAGGACAGTTGTAAGGTAGAAGTGAAAAGGAAAAAGGGCAATTTGGCAATATTTTTCAAAATTACAAATACATTTTTTACACCCTGGGAACTTATCTAACAGACATATGGTCACATGTAAAAAGTGACATGTGTGATGTTATTTATTGCAGCATTATTTGTAATAGCAAATAATTAAAAATAACCTGTTTATTATTAGAGGGCTGACTAAATTCATTATAGTATATCCTTACAAAGGAATACTATGCAGCTTAGGAAACAGCTCTATCCGTGCTGATTTGAAAAATATCAAAGCTATATTATTAAATGTAAAATACAACTTGTAGGATGAATATAGTATGCTTCATTTGCATTAAAAATGAGGGAAAGTATACACACACATACACGCACATGCACACATATATAACATAGTATAGTATAATATAACATTATAATATAACATAACATAACATAACATAACATATATATTTTTTGCTTGTAAAAAGATATCCAGAAGGTTACTCAAGAATCTGGAATATTTGTCTTCTCTGGGGAAGAGGATTGCAAGGGTGGAAGACAGAGTAATAGAATGAATGAATGAATGATAAATTAGAAAGACAAAAGAAAAATAAATCCATTTACATAATCAAATAGACCGACATCTGAGACAGTATAAACAAGAAAAAAAATGAGTAAATACAAACAATTACAAGTTAGAAAGGTTATGGCCAGAGATACACAGGAAAAAATTTTTAAGAAAAAATTCCCTGTAACTATATATTAATTAAATAGAAAAATTCAATAAAATATGCACAATTAAAGGAAAATATAAATAAAAAAATATTTAAGAACAATCTAAAAATCTCAATAAAACAGAAACAGGGGAAAAAGTAAAACAAAAATATTGTCAAAGAAATAATTACTCTAGTAGCAATCTCTAGACTCATAAAGCTGTTGAAATTTTGTTTAAACTTTAATAAACCAAGTATACATAAACTTTCCTGCAACGGAGAAAAAAATTTAAGCACCCCAATAATTTTTATGATGTTAGCATACATTTGACGCTAAACCCAAGGCATCTCAAGGACCCTATAATTCTCCTGTAATTCTCTCTCAAATTATTCTGACTATTCTTAGGACTCAAAGACCCACTCCCACACTTGCTATTGTTGTGCCTTCGTAGATCCCAAAGTTTTGCCTTGCAGACTGCCGTAGCTGAAGTTCAAATGAGTCCCTTGGGTGGACCATGGTCACAGTCAGCAGCTGCCCCTCTGGTTTCCCTTTTTATTTTAAACCATGTCATCAGATTGCAAACACTGTGACTTCCTATATTCCCACCTTTGCTTATGTTATTTCCTCTATATAGACTATCCTTCTTCCAACATCATATAGTCAAAGTCTTGAAGACTCCGCTCAAAAGCTACTTCTTCCAGAAATACCTCCCTGATCTGTGCCTGTTTAAAAGTGATATTTGCATCTTCAACATTCTCACTGCCCTTTCTACATGCCACTTACTATTGCACCTTCTGGCATAATCATTTAGTAATTTAGTGTAGTTCCTCCAGTCCTATTTAAAGATAAGATTCATGTCTGATTCAACTTTAGGAACTATATGCATAAACTCATTTTAGTTATATGTATTTTCATAAATAAATGAATAAATGCATTGGTTGACAACCAGGTTTTCTGACAAAGAGGACTTTGTTGTGGACTACAGTAGTGAGGAAAGGGTTTCTGGACAAAGGGAGTTTGTGCTAGACTTGGAAGAATTAATGTGATTTGGAGGAGGTAAAGAGTCACATGAAAGGCACAAGATTACTGCTGTAGAGATGACGTCTCCATTTGTCTAGATAAGACAAGCAGTTGTAGCAATCCACACATTGACACACAGCTTTTTATATAAACTTCCACATATTCTATAATTAGAAGAAATAATCCTTAAAAATAAACAAGTCATGAGCCAGAATAATATACTCCCATAATATCTGCTATCTAGTCTTCAGTCAACAAAGGACACAGCTTATATAAGAACTCCTAATTCTGGATTGTCCACTGGACTATCCATCCAGGACTTCAGTGTTCGTGATATCCTAGGAGTGATCATTGATGAGGAGGCCCTTCTAGAGCCCCACTCTTGGGGGCCATATGAGGCTTCTCTCATATGCTGTTACTGCTCCCTGATCTGACGTTCCAAAAGGTTTGGTCTTAGGGATCTGGACAGGGCTGCCCAATAAGGACTGGGTTCTGAGCATGGTAAGTTGAACACTGAATCTCATCCCACTCACCCCTAAGAGAATAGAAAAGCGAACTTTCATGTACAAAGAGGGAATTAGTAGATGCCTGGAGGAGGAACCCCAATCTCTGGGTTATAGACCCCAGCTCTTCCACTTTTCTGATATGTCCTCCTGAGCAAGTCTCGTACTTTTGCTTTTGAGACCTTGGTTGTTGCATCTGTAAAACCAAGAGTTTTTACTTACTCAGTAAGAACTAAAGTCCCTTCCTCATCACATGGGAGCAGAGGGAGGACCATGAAAAAAGAACTCACCTGTGTTGACACAGAAACCAGTGAGATTTCATGGAAAAGGATGGAAAGTAGGTGAGAATCTATACAAGCTCATTCAGCTACTCCAGGGACAAGTAAAGGACTATATATATGAGATCAAGAGAGGCCAAGACCATCTCTGACAGGGAACTTCTCTGACATAGTGTTATCCCTCATGAGGCCTCAAAATTAGACCAAGAAGGGGGAGGAGGATGTGGGGAGAGCTAAGGACAAGTAGATAATACAAGCACTAATAAATACCGCAGTGTTAAAGCAGTGGTGCCTCATACTTCTGTGATGATTTAGAATTTTTCTAAATATTATCTCTATCCCCCATATTAATCTGTGGGGACAGGGCAGTTACCATAATAACTCCATTTAACACATGGGATATAGAAGAGCTGTTTGTTTTCCCAAAGTCACCCAGGGGACTAGAGGTGGAGCCAGGATGAAATCTGGGTCCCTAGACTGAGGGTTTTGTTCTCCCAGATGTCAGGTCCAAGTGGGACCTGGGGGCAGAGACAAGATAACTCCTAAACCTGGGAATGAGGAAGCGACACAAGAAAGGAGGCAAAAGCTGGAGAAGCCCTTTCCAACTTTAAATTCTTAATGGATCTTCAGGAACCAAGTCCATACTCACATTGGGCCTTGTTAGTGATGGCCATAGAGACTGTGTCTTGGGAGTCCCATAATGATTCTAAGAGATGGCAGAGGCACTGTGCTGTGCCAGGAGGGAACAGGGGATGCCCTCTCAGGGGTTGCCCCCTACCATAAGTTTCTGGTCCATACCTTTAGAAGATGACAGTACAATGACAGAGATAGAGAGAAAGAAGACATTGGAGAGGCTGTATGGTGCTGCCCTTAAGCTCTTGTGTCCTCCTCAATTAATTATTCTCCAGACCCATGTGATAGACTACTCTCTTTGGGAAACCTGATGGACTTTGTAGATAAATAATTGACCTGCTCTTCCAGTTATCAGCAACTACTGAACCCCTTTGGACTCCGACTTTGTTATTTGTAGAATGACAGTAATATCCCCTCTCAGGTTGCTGGGGGAATTAATGAAGTAATACACAAAGTTCCTAGTAGGAGATCACCAATATTGTTATTAACATAATAATAGTCGATAACATTTATCATGTGCTTGTTATACATGTGACACCATATCATGAGCTTTATACACACTAAATCCCAATCAAGCCTTGCAATAATTCCATGAGGTAGATACCTTTTTTATACCTATTGTTCAGATAAATAAAATGAGGTTCAGAGTGATTCAGTAATTTGTCTAAGTCCACATAGTTAGAACCTTGAGGAGTTGGAATTCAAACTTGCATTCATCTGATTCCAAAGTACATGATCTCAACGATTGCACTATATGACTTACTTTCCCACTCCCTTTCAATTAACCCTTCTCCCCCAAACAATATACTTTTAGCTTCTGTTGTTTGTGACAAATATTGTTTCAAATATACCATGGACTATGCTCTAGGAATGAATCTAAGGCATTCAACTCTTGGTAATAATGGCCTCTGCTCTACCCTAATAGCACAGTCCATAGCACTGAGATCAACTTCCAGCTGCTAGCTCCAGTGTAAATCTTTTATTCTCCTATTATATCTGCTACTTACTCTCACTGCAAAGAATTATGACCTTGACTTGGTGGTCATATGGGGAGCTGACCCTCCAGTGTTAGGCTTGCATCATTGGCTTAAGGATATAATATATAAATGTTAAGGCGTTTCATCATTCAGTAACATTTTTCTAAATCTAAAACTATAAAAGTATTATACATAAAAATTATAAATGATAGCAGAAGCTTAAACATCAATAACATCATAAGGAAATTAAATACACTTTTTAAAATAATTCTTAGGTAAAAGAGCAAAACAACTACTCCAGTATTGTATTAATACAAGAATAGAAAGATCAATGCAAACCAGCCTTCATATGGATTTTCAACCTAGGTACACATCATCTTGGTAGTCAAAGATCTTTAATCCTTGAACCCAGTTTAAAGTTGTATTGAACACGTAGTGACACTACTATGGACTGAATGTTTGTGTCCCCTCCATCCTGGGCAAATTCAAATGTTGAAATCCTAATCTCCAATGTGATGGTATTAAGAGGTTGGGCCTTTGGTAGGTGATTAGACATAAGGGTGGAAACCTCATGAATGGTATTAGTGCCCTTATAAAAGTGACCCCAGTACTATCACCACCACGAGTGCACTGTGCCCCAGAACTCAGGCACTGTGGTAGTTCCATGTGGACCTGGCCCCAGGATTCTGACTCTGCTGCCACTCTGAGTGTCAGCACACCAGACCTGGTAAAAGAGGTATCCTTTTGGCTGGAACTTCCCCCATGGGCAAATTAGAAAAACAAGAGGACACCAGCAACCTTTGCCACTAAGGAACCCAATAACTCTAGCCACCACTGCTACCTGCAGGGCTTCCACAGATTGGGCCACCAAAGACCCCCTGTAGTCTTTGCCACTATTGACTTTAGCCACATCAGACTAAAAAACTTCTGTACAGCAAAAGAAGCAATCAATAAATCAAATAGGCAACCTACTGAATGTGAGAAAATATTTGCAAATTATATATCTGATAAGGAGTTAAGACCTAAAAAATATAAAGAACTCACACAACATCATACAAAAGAAAAAATAAATAAATAATCCAATTTTTAAAAAGAGCAAAAGACCCAAATAGACATTTTTCCAAAGAAGACATGCAAATTGCCAATAGGTTTATGAAAAGGTGCTCGACATCACTAATTATCAGAGAAATGCAAATCAAAACCACAGTGAGATATTACCTCACTGGTGTTAACATGGCTATTATCAAAAAAGATAAAAGATAGCAGGTTGGTGAGGATGTGGAGAAAAGGGAACTCTCTTGCACTGTTGGTAGGAATGTAAATTGGTAGGGCCACTATGGAGAACAGTATGGAGGTTACTCGGAAAATTACAAGTAGAACTACCATATGATTCAATAATCTGGCTTCTGGTTATATATCTGAAGAAAATGAAATCACTATCTCAAGGGGATATTTGTAATCCTATGTTCACTGCAGCATTATTCACAATAGGCAAGATATGGAAATAACCTAAATGTTCTCTGACAGATGTGGTATGTATATATAAACAAAATGCTCTTCACGCAATTCTTTTATATATATATGCAAAATTATTCAGCCATAAAAAAGAAGGAATTCCTCCCACTATGACAACATGGGTGAAATTTGATGGCATTATGTTGAATGAAATAAGCGAGACAGAAAGACATACTCTGTGTGGTATCTTTTGTGTGTGGAATCTTTTAAAAAAAAAATAACCAATGTCATAGAAATCGTAGAATGGTGGTTGCCAGGGACTGGGGAAAAAGGGAAAATGGAAAAATGTAGGTCAAAGAGTACAAACTTTCAGTTATAAGATGAATAAGTTCTGAGAGTCTAATGCATAGCATAATGACTATAGTTAATAATATGGTATTATATACTTAAAATTTGCTGAGAGTAAATCTTAAGTGTTTTCATCACAAATGAAAAAGAGTTGACTATGTGAAGTAATGAATGTGTTAACTATCTTGATCTTAGTAATCATTCCACAATGTATATCAAATAATCACATTGTACACTTTAAATATATACAATTATCTCTGTCAATTATTCCTCAATAAACTTGGGAAAAAATAATTCCCAATGAGGAAATATTAATGGATTATATTAGTCAGCTCAGGCCTTTATAACAAAATACCATAGACTGAGGGTTTATACAACAGAAATTTATTTTTTTACAATTTTGAAAACTAGATCAGGGTACTAGTATGGTGAGGTTCTGGCAAGAGCTATTTTCCTTGCTTGCAGATGGCCACTTTCCCACTGTGTCCTCACATGGGTGGAAGAGAGGAAGAGTTCTCTCTCAGTCTCTTCCACTCTTATAACGCCACTGTCCTATCAGATCCGGGTCCTAATTTAACTTTAATTACTTCCCAAAATACCCCATTATTATTTCCTAATTAATATTATTTAACCTTAATTATTTCCTAAAAATCCTATCTCCACATACAGTCATATTAGGGATTAAGGGTTCAACATATGAATTTGGGTGGGACACAATTCAGTCCACTTCATGGATAATAAACATTTGAAAATATATTCAACCTCATGTGAACATCAAAGAAATGCATATTAAAATAATAACTGGTAATTTTCAATCATTATATTGTCAAAATTAGAAGAATTTATTTATAATAGCCACTTTTAACAAGATGTGGGGACAAACAGTTTTATTCACCTTTGGAATAATAAATTTTTTTGTAGACTAAGAGGGAAATATATATATCAAAAATCCATATTTTTATTTTATTCAACTCAGGAACCTTACTAATTAAAACTTATCTTATGGAAATGCTTTCAAGATAATAGAAACACATCTCTAATGAATATTGTTTACATTAATCATAATTGCAGTAAATCTAGAAACAATCTAAACTGCATCAAAAGGAATATGGTTAATTAAATTATAATTAATGCATAAATTAACACTAGGTGTCATTAAAATGGATAAGGTAAGTTTTTGGGTATTTGACAGGTTAAAAAAATCTGTGTAAACCAAACATATGTCATAACATGCCCCTTGTTGATGTGAAATATACATAAGCATGTTAATATTGATATGAAAATTTATAAACATGTTTATATACATACAAAAAACTAGAAGGGTAAGCACTAAATTCTTAACAGTGTTTTTTTTTCTAGAAAATTAATTATTAAGAATGGGAACAGAGAGGGTGAAGGTTTTGACTTTAATTTTCCACTGGTAAAATTTTGTTTTATTTTCATTTTTATAAACATAATTTCTAATGAAAATTTAAAAATCAATGGATATTTAGGAAAAAAATAAGAGATTCCAAAGGAAATATAAACTCTCCATTATTAAATACTCTAGAATCTTCCGATGTAGACAAGGTACTGGAAATCAGTGTATCAAATTATACTGTACTAGATCTGTATCCTTGTGCGCGATCCATGTTAAAGCAGGTTGGAGGAGCTGTTTCAGAGAAAGCCTGGCAGGAGGATGTGCTAATACTTGGCACCAGGCTGTGACTTTCCATATTTCAGTTTGAGAGAATTTTTGCTGGTATATTTTTGAGAATTCACGCAAAAAATAAACATGCCGGTAGGACCAAGATACAGAGCTTCCCAGGTTCTACCTTTATATGGAGTGAAAAGGGTAGCTAAGACAAAGTGGCGACCAGCCAAGGGTTCAGGTCTACAGAGCTTGCACACCTAATAATAGGGAAAGCCTCCTTGGGGAATAAGAAGTCTCATTTCCTAAAAAAAAAAGCCATTTTGCTCACTTGCTTTGTTTCTACCTTAAAAAAAAATGCAAGGGCTCGCTTCCCTGTGAGCACCCGTTGCAAGGCGCCCTGCACATCAGGGTTCCGGAGGCTGTAGATGAGTGGGTTCAGCATGGGGCTGATCACAGTATTAAGAGTGCCAATCCCCTTATCCTTGTCCGAAGCCTCCACTGAGCCCAGACGCATGTAACTGAAGACACCAGTCCCATAGAAGATGCCCACCACTGTGAGGTGGGAGCTACATGTGGAGAAGGCTTTCTTCCTGCCCTCTGCAGAGCGTATTCTCAAGACAGCAGCTGCCACATGTATGTAGGAGGTAACAATAAAAATCACAGGTACACCTGCCATGAGGATACTCAGACAAAAGAGGAGCAGTTCATTGAGTTGGGTGCTGGAGCAGGAGAGCTGAAAGAGCTGTGGGAGGTCACAGTAGAAGTGATTGATCACATTGGGACCACAGAAGTTGAGCGTGGATATGGCTACAGTGTGGGTCAGTGCATTGGTGAAGGCACAAGCCCAGGACACAGCCACCAATATTCTCTGGACCATCTGGCTCATGCGGGTGCTATACGTGAGGGGCCGGCAGATGGCCAGGAATCGGTCATAGGCCATGGCTGTCAACAGAAAGAAGTACACCCCCAA